TAGATAGATAGATGATAGATAGATGATAGATAGATGATAGATAGGTAGATAAATGATAGAAGATAGGTAGATAGAGATAAATGATAGATGATAGAGAGATAAATGATAGATAGATGATAGATAGAGATAAATGATAGATAGATAGATGATAGATAGATGACAGATAGAGAGATAATAGAAAGACATATATAATAAGAGACCACTATATTGGGCAGTAGGCATTGGCGATGATGAGAGGGGAGCAGATCTAAATACAATCAATATATATTGTATTAAAATAATTAAAATCAATAAAAAAGAAATTTTAATATATAAGACAAATGTGTCAAAAATTTACTATTAAAACAACTTGTGAGCATTATCAATTTGAGGCTGAGTATCTGAGTCAATGTTCCATAGAAGCCAGTGATGTGCCTTTGGAGTCTGTCCAACCGCCCTACTAGGCCTGCAAGCTACAGACAATTACTGGGGTATGTAACTCATTGTTAAAAGTTAGTGGAACATTCTAAGGTATTACTTTGTTTGTGCTGCTCTCAAACTGGGGGCGCATCTACATCAGCTCATTTATCTATGTCTTTGTACTACTTAAGCCTGGCTTCACACAGTGTTTCTGTAATTAGTCCAGCCTTATTCTGTGGGCAATCAGCCTGATTTTATTCCTGGGTTCTTAGTAAAGATGACTGAATCTTAAAACTGTGGTAGCAAACTTTCATAGCAGTGTCCTGGATCTTTATCCATCTAGAACTTCTGTATAGAGAGGGTCTGTCTTTCTGGTTAATAAAGGCAGGTCATCCAAGATCTAGTTGGTACTGATGGGCAAATTAGAGTAGCTGCACTTATGATACGTTGTGGAGCCTTAAGCATCATGACCATGGAAGGGAGACAAAGGGCCTGACTTCATTGTAATTTAGTTAAAAATTATTTCTTTGTAAAAAAGTTATCATTCAGTTTACTTATTGATAACAGTGATTAAGACATCTACCTCACCATGCATGGTGGTGCACGCTTTTAATCCCAACACACTAGAGGCAAAGGCAGATGCATCTCTGTGAGTTCAAGGCCACCCTTGTCTATATAGCAAGTTCCAGGCCAGCTGGGGTTACAGGGAGACCTTGCCTAAAAAAAACCCGAATCCAAAACAAAAAAGACAACTACATCAAATAGTTTTATTAGAAATTCATAAAATGGGAAGTGACATAATGCTTTCAAATATGTTTTATAAGAAAAAAGAAATATTTCAATAATATTCATCATGGTAGTAAATGATTTGCTGTTTTTCTTGGTTTTGTGTGAAAGAAAAAAAACACACTTGATGATTTTAAATGGAAAGCATGTCTTAATTCTACCCAATTAACTGAGGAAGAACGAACACTGTTGGATATGTAAAGAGGACATAAGGACTCATAAATAGCATTGAATTAGAGGCAATGTGAATTGAAGGGTGATTATAGAAGGCTCACACGTGCCCACTGTGGTCAGGGTCCATCAATGATTTTGGTCATATACAAAGGACAGTCATCTGAAAAGTGGCCAGAATTTGACCTTGAGGGAAGCCTATTGTCCAGTTCCACCTATAAGGCCTCCGAAAGGATCAATGGATGCACGAGGGTGGGCAAGTTTGAGGATATGATTGGGCAGGGCAAGCCTTGCCTCAGGACTTTGGAGGGAAACATCACCAGTATAGAGACACAGACACCTGGCACTACAGGGCAAAGGCTCAGCTACCCTGGGGAAGGGGGTCTGAGATAGTTGATCTCAAGCTATATGATGTTGTCCAATAGGTGTTGTATGCAAATATCCCATAGCCTTTAAAGCAGAAAACCCAGACTCCCCTAAACATTCAACAAGGGCATTGTTCTATCAGTCTTAAAGATCCACTGAGTACCAATCCCACACAACATGGAGTGGGTGTGGAGGATCCTTTTCCTGTTGGTAGCTATGCCAGGTATGATCCATGAGCCCAGAGCTGCAGAGGAAACAGAGGCAGTGCCATGTCCCCTGACCTCTCTGTATTCTCCCCACAGGTGCCCATGCTCAGGTCAAGCTGGAACAGTCTGGGGCTGAGCTGAAACAGCCTGGCCAGTCAGTGAAGATCTCCTGCAAGGCCTCAGGGTACACATTTACCGAATACGGAATGAACTGGGTGAAGCAGCCAGCAGGAAAGGGTCTGCAGTGGATGGGCTGGATCAACACCAACACTGGAAACCCAACTTATGCTGAGGACTTCAAAGGACGATTTGTCTTCTCCATGGACGCCTCCATCAGCACTGCCTAC